AATCCTCAGCACTACATAAAAATAAATAAAATAAAGGCATGTTGACTATCTACAACTAAAAAAAAAAAAAAAACCTGCATGTTTTGGAAATAATGACAATTGTGCAACCCTGTCAATTTACTTAATGCCACTGATTTTACACTTAAAATGGTTAAATAAAATGTTCTTTTTTACACACACACACACACACACACACACACACACACACGTGTGTGTGTATGTGTGTATAAAATCATAAAATAAAGGTAACACATAGCAAATTCAGATGAGGCAGAAAATAAAGAACCAGACTAAAGATCACCGTAAGTCCCACCACCCAGAAATGAGTAATTGTTCTCCCTTTATGTCTGGTATATAGTTGCTTATTTTTCAAGCTTGAAAACACAGAAATATTAAATCCTACTTGGTCACTTAAATTTACTAAAATCAGGCTTCTCAAAATACAGGTTCTTAAAGCTTCTGGATTTCAACCAATATACATCAACTCACAGTTATCACTATTCTAATATGTTCTCCAAATTGGTAATGACCAAAAATCTAATCCTACATCTTTGTACCCAGTTGTTCATACTCACCTTGTAAACTTCACTGAAACCTCCTCTACCCAAAAGATGTAACAACAAATATCTGTCATTTAGCGTTGGATGATCTTTAAATCTGTGGAAAGAGGGAATGTATAACCATCCTGAGGACATGGATATAGCATTCCATATTCACAAAGTTCCTAGACTATCTAACATATCACACACATGATTTTAGCTGATGATGATAGTCTTGACATCAATACAGTGAACTTTAAGCTAAAAGTTACATAGTACACAGTATATTTATCATAAATAGTCATAGTTGGTGCTAGTCTCAGTGTGGCCACAATTAGACCTTTCTTGATCTCACTCTCTTTCTGCCCTGATACAAAGTAAGGGGAAATACTAGTTCCTTAAAACTAGTTACAGGGATTTTTCAAATAGTGCTATCTGGTGCCTCCAAAATTTGTTGAGTCATATGTTCTCTTCATCATTTCAAAACTTTACACACTAAAATTCCAAAATATTTTATATGGTCTTAAAAATGGGTAATTATTAAGTAAGTTATATGTTCCATGTGCATTCATTTTTCTCTAAGATAAAAAGTCTATGATATAACTATGTTCCCCATAAAAAAATTTCATTTTATGTCATTTACTAACAATACAACAAAGAAATAATTTTGTTTTATTTTGCCAGACTGTGGCAAAAATAAATTTTAGGAGTATTTTTATTTGATTCCAATCAAATATTAATCCTGAAATTATTTCTATTTTTAAAAAAGTAGCATGCCTGTGGGGAGATGACATTACTTCATAATTGTTTAGATTAGAAAGATTCAAATTTGGAGCTGAGGTTGTAGCTCAGTGACTCTCTTACAGTTATTGTCTCCTGGTCAAATAAACTTATTTTCTCTAAGCTTGTTTCCTGATCAATGTATTGAAGATGATGGTGTTATCGTGAACATTAAATATTAGATTATCAGTGCTGTGCCTAATACACAGTAAATTCTCAGATATTGGTAACTGCTGGTGCCGGACATTTGGCAGAGGAACAGTCCATGGTTCACATTGGCTTAGTGACAACATATAAGCTGTGAATATGAAAAAATGTTTCAGAGTCAGAAATGTGGGAAAGAAAAGATTAGTGACAGAAGTCCTTTCTCACTTAAAGTCCACTTTTCCTATTTTCCATACTTTCAATGATTTATAAAAAAAAGTTGTTACACTGAATGAAACCAGGTTTCATCTCAACCTAATATTCTTCCCACAGTACTACACTGTGGCCCATGCTTCCCTTTCTCAAGGATCCACAGGTAAATGTGAATATGTAATATATTCCCCCTATTTACAGTTGCAAAGCTGTATCATTTTATTGACTTCTACTCATGTAAAAAATCCTATTATATTTGGATCTGGAATATTCCCTAAAGACTCATGTGTTAAAGGGTTGGTTTCTAATTGTTGGCATATTGGGAAGTGGCAGAAACTTTAGGAAGTAAGGCCTACTTGGAGGAAACGGACCACTGGGGACTTGCCCTTGAAGGATATAACGGGAGCCTGGCACTCACACTCTTACTATTCTCTCTGCTTTCTGACTGCCATGAGCCATGAACAGCTCTATTCCATCATGTTCACCCTGCCAAGATGTTCTATTTGCCAAGGCCCTAAGTGATAGGGTCAAATGACAGTGGACTAAAAACTTTAAAACTGTGAGCCAAAAATCTTTCCATCTTTTAAATTGTTATGTAAGGTATTCTCTAATGGCTACAGATAGCTAACACAAATATTATATGCATACATATATATTTAATACATAAGCTTAGTATTATAATACTAGTATTATTATCATATATAATACTAGTATTATATATACTAACCTTACATATTAAATATATGACATATATCTATCTATATTTAAAGCAAAGCAGATCATAATTTTGCTCATGAAACTGTATTATATTCTATGAAAGAACTAAATACACTGTGGAGTCACTTATCCCCCCCTCCTTTTTTTTTTTTTGTGGTGCTGGGGATGAACCCAGGGCCTTGATGGGGGTGAAACCAAGGCAAATGTTCTACTACTGAGCTATATCCCCCAACCCATTTTTCAAATGCATACTCAGCAAAAACATTGCTGTAGACCACTCAATTCATGTCAGAAAGTGCTCAGCAATCTCCAACCCAATACACCCCAAGTTACTTACTGTGAATTATCTTCATTATGTATCCTTTTTAGTTCCCTGATATGTAGATTTCTAACCCTTTCTAGCCTTTCCAGCTCTGCCTGGATCTCTGCTTCCTCCTGAAATATAAAGGGAAAAAAAGAGCTCAGGGTACAGGTACTTCTACCTTTTCAGAGTCTTGTTTCAAAAATTATGTTAGGTATGCCTATTACTTATTTATTTAAGGAATTGAACCCAAAGCCTCACACACACTAGGCAAATGCTCCAGCATTAAGCTATACCCTCAGCCTAACAATAGGCTTTGCTCTTGTGAAAAGCTAATGGAAGATGTTTTACACTGAGAAAAAATATTTTAAAAACTAGAAACTTAATCATACAAATAAGCCTCTAGCAAATAATAGATAAAATCTAAACTACAGAGTTCAGTAGGAAAAGCAAAAGTCACCTTCCTCTTCTTGACCACTCCCTGTAACCACTGTTTCTATGTAAGTTTGTAAAAATATTTTACGTATAAACATAAAGTCATGCAAATACTTTTTACAAAAATCAGGTTCACTATCTGCTTCTCTTCTCCAGGTATGGATTATACTTGGTACCTAAATTCCACTAACTTAAAAAGATTTGAGAACCCAATAGAAAAAAGATATGAAGCTGGGCACAGTGGCACATGCCTGTAATCCCAGCGGCTTGAGAAGCTGACAAGTTCAAAGTCTCAGCAACTTAGCAAGGCCCTAAGCAACTCAGCCTATCTCAAAATAAACAAATTAATAGGGCTGAGGATGTAGCTCAGTGGTTAAGCACCCCTAGGTTCAATCCCAGGGAGGAAGGAAGAAAGGGAAGGAGGGAGGGAGAAAGACCAATCTGTGAATAAAAAACAAATACACAACAACAGCAGTTTATTAAATGCTTATTGACCACCATCACTATAAATAACATCTACCAATAATGTATGAGCTATTGAATTTAAGATGTGACAAGATATATCTAAAATATCTCAATGAACAGAATCAATAACAAATTATGTTAGGTGCCTTTGTGTTAGAATATGGTTGGTCCAACACCTTCCCTTTAGCTAGGTTAGTCAGAAAATAAGAGACACTAAGTGATTTAAAATATTCCAAGAGTCTTAATATCTATTTCAGAACCATCTGCTCCTGTATGTTTTATTCAATACATAACCACTTGGGAAGCCTTACAATGTATATACACAGACTTATCTACTAATAGGTCACACTAAAGGAATAAATACTATCATTGGGTGACTAGAATTGACTTGAAAATCAATAGATGAGTCCCATCATTATACAAGACATGACAATGAGATTATCTATTCAAGACTTCTGCAGTATGTGAAACTACTTATTTGCTCAAATAACCAAATAACGTCCATACCAAACAAAAATTAGAAATCACATTTCTCCAGGCAGATTTCCTCATTATAATTACCTTTTTAAGATGGCCTAATCTGAGTTTAAAGATTTCTTCTTGTTCATGGTATTCTGCTAATGTTAACCTGAAAAGTAATGATAGAAATTTCAGTAAATTTTAAATAGTAATGACTTTTTAAATAGAAATGTTCAAGTATGTTACAAGGTAAATTTGAACTCACAGATAAAATGACTAAAAGCCAATTTATTTTGCATCCTCTGATAAGAGAAAACTTTTGTGATTTATCAGATGTACTATAAAGAAATGCTTCCAAAGTCAAATGCTTTAATTCATAAAAATGAAAAAAATAACTGAGCTATAGTTTACATTATTTTGTGAAAATGAGTTTTGTTTCATATATTGCTCAGATGAAAACCTATTTGAAGAGACAGGTCAAATAATAAGTCTAAAAATCTTCAAAGGGAAAAGCAATAAGCCAATGAATTTATTATTCATGATAACTTATATATTGATAGTATAATAATAAGGAGAAAAAACAGGGTTAAAAGAGTCCAAGATTTGGATGCTGGCCATGTGACCTTTGGCAGCAACGACAACTTCATCAACTCAGTTTCCTGAAAATTAGGCAAGTAATAATACCTATCTAACAAAGTGCTGTAACTTTATTGAGAATGTGGAAAGAAGAATATAAAAAATGCTATTTAAACCAATGCTCAAAGGGTAAACTTGATGGGCAATTTCTCAGTTCATGTTTCACCAAGTCTAATCACATCCTCTTATTTTAAGAATGAAGAAGTAAGAAGTGATATTCTGGAAGCACACACATATACTTCAAAGTTTTAGATTTCAAGGTTTAGAACATTCTAAATAACAAAAGTAGAAACAAGTTATCCTATTCAGCAGAAAGGGCTACCAAAACAAAAACAAAACTCTTAAGGCCTAACTCAAAGGAAATAGAATGACTAAAAAGTAGTATATCCCCCCGAGCTGTTAACTTATCCTCTCAGCAGCAGAAATATCTCCATCTATTACTCTATTTCATACCAGTAAAAAAGGGAAAAATGAAAAATCATAGTTAAGAATTCACTCTCAAACAGGTTCAGTACCAGGAGAGAATAAAGTGATTCACTTAAGAGGCCTGTCTTTGGCTTTTGGTCAAGAGCCAAGTCACAGACATTCTAATTAAAAAAGTGAACTAAAGGCCTCCTAGCTTGGATTTTACACAGGACTCCAGATGGCAACTACTCACTGACATACTATTGGCCTACACTGAATTCTAATTATGGTTCAATGGCAAAAACAAAAACAAAAAACCCTATCTTGTTTTTATTATTCCTAAGCCAATGGTTTTTGTGTGTTAGCACAAAATAATTTTCAAGCAATGCTAGAGCGAGAGTCCCTTCACAAAATAAACACAGGACTCAGAAAACAATGACCAGATTAAATCTGTCTGAAGAGTCTTTCAAATCTGGGCCTTTTTGAAAGGAAATACTTTTTAATTAGACTTTAAGTTTTAAAACATTCAGTTATAAGGTGAAATGTTTTCCAAATTTAGTTTACTCTGCATACTTTATTTTTTATTTTTATTTTATTGTGTCGGACAGAATACATTTTTTATTTTTAAAAAACATCAAATGGTATATTGCTGAGGATCGAACCCAGCTTCACACATGCTAGGCGAGTGTTCTACTGCTGAGCCACAACCCCAGCCCCCCCCACCCCCGCATCCCGCCCCGCACTGTACATACTTTTTAATCACTATACTTTTACAATCACTAATAAGTTTACTCATCTCTCCTAAATAAACTGTGAACTCCTAAAACTAGGGTTGTATCCTTCAACTCTATATTCCCACAACACGGCCTAACATAAAATAAGCATTTAATGTAGACTTACTAAATGATGTCAAAGAAAAGACTTCCCAACACATCAGGTATGTATGAGTGAGGATTGGTGTTAAGCCATCTTTCTCACTGGAATAAAGGAATATGCATGTCTGGGAGGTCATGGACCTTTAACAATGCAGTAGTACAAGTAGTATACTTGAAGTGGATAATGGGTTACAATGTTTTTGTGAACTGATACAAAAACATAAAAAAGACAAAAGGCATATTAGTCAATAAGTTATATAATATACCTTTTATTTGTGGCTATCTTACAACAGAAAATTTACTTTCAAGTAAAGAGAAAAGGAGAAAGGAATAGAAAAGAAAGGCATTTGTGCTCAGGATTTTCAACCCCTCCTATACATGAAAGCTATGTAATAATTGTTGACTGGCAGAGAAAAAGATGACTATGCTTCAATTTAAGATACTTGTATTTTCCCTAAGTTTTCAAAACTGAAAAGACCCTAGTAAAGATATGAGTTACTGGGAAAGTGTTCTTTCCTAAAACAACAGTTATTTATTTATTTTTCTTGGCTTACAGCTGTTAACTAAGTGCTCTTTTGACCAGTAAAGGGCATTCTTTAGTTTGAAATAGTAGCCATATAATCACCACAAGAGGACACCAAATTACCAGAACTTAGAGTCACTTATAAGCAATAATATTAACATCATATTTGTGATGGTTAGACAAAGATCATGCTGTCAAGAAGTGACATTATTTCTCCCTCTCATTCAAAATTCTAAGTGCAGGACTAAGAAAGTCAGTTAATTTTATATGGTTTTTATGAGTTGGGCAAATCCATTAATGTGATGGGAAAGATCTCAAACACTAGGGACCTCTGTAATTTATATCTGTCCCCAGTGTCATTCAATAAGACATTTGTTCACATCAATAAAGAACATACGTTTCATTTTCAGCTCCATTGGTCTTGCTCTTCCGCTGTTTCTGCTCATTGGTTGCTGGAGGGGCTTGACCCATGGCAGGAGGTTTCCGCTTTGCTAACATTTTCCGTTGTCTTTCTATCTCTTCCCTCTGTGAATTTATCCTTTCTTGTTGCCTAAAGACATAAAATATGTGGACAGAAGAAGAAAGTAAAACAAGTTTCTTATTGCTATGGAACAAACACAATTTGTCAGCTGGATATTTGATAAACTTCAGAAAAACATAAGATCCTTAAATTAAGTAGAGATTTGCATTTAACCTTCAGATAGTAAGAAACCAAATAACTAGTGAGAGATTATTTGGAAAGAAGCTGTACTTTAAGATAATAGTTATGTCTTAAAAGGAGAGGGAAAAGTGAACAAGAAAAAAAAATACCAAATTTCTAGTACCAACTTACTTTCTGACTCCAAAGAAAAATTTTCTGATTCCTTTTTAGCAGTTATGAAAACAACTCTAGTATGAATCCATAAAGAGTTGTTTTTAAGAAAAGACGATACAGACTGTCCCAAGTGCCCTTTTATTTTTTGTTTGGATTAAAGCTTCCTCAAATTTAATTTACAAAGATATCAAGCTTGTAGAATGCTAGACAAAGTAAACAAGACTTTCTTTTTAGGAATATCACTTACTCTAGTCTAAGTGAACCTCTAGCATCCCCCAAATCATCTCCACTCACTGAGCAGGGAGACACACCCAGTCTAAGCTTTAAAAAAGCATATTCAGAGAAAGCCAATGAAGTATTACTAGCTGTGAAGTTATTAATAAAATAACTCCTTAGGGAATGGTATATAAAAGTGAAATAGTATAAAATGTATTTTATATATCTTCAGATAATTTAATACTATTACTATTGGAGTACTTACTAATAAGATGTCTTATTTTCCTTTAAAAAAAAGAAATCTACTCGTAGAACATCCCTAGAAAGGTTTTGAGTTTCAGAGATTTTCAGATTTTGGATTAAGAATGTTTTGACCTGTACAGTCTATGCAAATATTCTGAAATCCAAAAAAACTGTAAAATCTGAAATACTCCTAGTCCCATGCATTTCAGATAAGGGATATTCAACTTACAGTTTAACCATTTAACAGGCTAACATCTTTAAATCACCTATTAGAGTTGATAGTCAAAACTCCCTTTGCCTTCTCTTCTCTCTCTCTTTCTACAAGTCTTTTTTTCCCATATTCTTTTCTGGAACCAACGATCAATCTTGCAGAATAATGAAATCTTATTTTTTTTAAATACCTCTTCCTTGAACAATGCAGTTCCATATTCTTAAAGAATAGCAACCAAAACAAAACAAAACAATATTCCTCTAGGTTTGATGCCCATAATATATATAATTTATGCTACCATATGTAGAAGGGTAATAGTACAAGCAAGGTTAAAATAAGCAGAGTATTACAACCAACCAACCAACCATTTATTTGATAATACAATCTCCTTGATTCTACATAAGCTAGAGATCACTGATAAGACATCAATTTAACAGTAAACTGAATGTTTTCATTCAAGAGTTTTGTTTCCCTGAAAAATCTGTATACTATTAGATATGCTTTTTCCTACTCACCCCTCCCCCCAATAAATAAAATTTATGACTTGAAAGAATTCTGGGTTGAGACACAGAATCCTTAGCTAAAATTGTAATGTCCCTTCTGAATCAATGAATGTCCTTGAGGAAAACATTTACCTTATCTGAACATAAGTTTCCCAATTTAAAAAAAGGGAAAAACATTTTTAGCTCATATCTCCACCTTTTTAGGAGACACCGAGTGTAAAGCACTCTGAACCCCCTGGAAATAGTTACACATTATGCAGTTTAAACTATAAACTATAGTGGCCTAGGAGAATACCACAACATTATGCCTCAGAGGACTACCTGTGCTTTGTAAGCTTCAGATTTCAGAAATCACCTTTATTATTTTCAGGGAGAATCCATACATTTATCTTTTCATGTTCAACAAGAAGGTAGCCCCACAGCCATCGTATAGATGAGTCATATGCACAGAATACAAAGATTCCAAAACACCTTTAGGGAACTCTTAAGCTATTCTGAGAAAGAATGAAAGTTGATTCACCAAAGATCAGTGTTATACAGATTCCTATACTGACTTAGCCCATTTTTTTTTTTTTTTTTTTTGAGACAGGGTCACTAACATTGTCCAGACTGGGCTCCACCTTCTGATCCTCTTGCCTTAATCTCCTGAGTAGCTGTGATTACAGATGTGTGCCACAGTGCCCAGCTCTCTATAACAATTCTTGATATTCCTAAAATTGTTTATTTATACAGAAGAACAAAAGTCATCTAAAGAGAATCTTCATTTAGGCTTATCTGAGGAGTACAAAGTCCACACTACCTCGATAAACTGTTAACTTCTCTTAAAATAGGAATCATGTCTTTCCAACTCTTATATCCTCTAGCACATAAAACAGTACCTTTCATGGAGCTGATGCTTAAATATTTCATGTGTAGTATCAGTTTTAGAGAGTACTTGTCCTGCAACAAGCATGAAAAGAGTATTTCTTCTATCTTCTATAGAAATTTTGAATACCCAATAAATTCATCTCACTGAAATCTAAATAAGTCTATTAAAGTCCTAGTGCCGGTACCTCAGAATATGACCTCACTTCATTGAAATAATTAGCTAAGCCAGGCACAGTGGCACATACCTGTAATCTCAGTGGCTCAGGAGACTGAGGCAGGAAGATCACAAGTTCAAATCCAGCCTCAGCAATTTAGTAAGGCCCTAAGCAATTAACTTAGTGAGACTTTACCTCAAAATAAAACATAAAAAGGGCTGAGGATGTAGCTCTGTAGTTAGGTGCCCCTTGGTTAAATCCCCAATGCTAAATAAATAAATAAAAGGGGGAGGAGGAGATGGTGCTGCCATAGGTTAAGCCCTTAGTCCAAAATGCAATATGCCTGGTGTCCTTAAAAGAGAAGGAGCAAGCTGGGCATGGTGGTGCAGCCTGTAATCGCAGAAGCGCAGGAGGCTGAGGCAGGAGGATCATGCATTCAAAGCCAGCCTCAGAAACTCAGTGAGGCCTTAAGCAACTAAGCAAGATCCTATCTCTAAATAAAATATTTTAAAAGGGGGGGGGGCTGGAGATATGGCTCAGTGGTTAAGTGCCCCTGGGTTCAATCCCTGAACCCCTCATCTCCCCCCACCCTGCCACAAAAAGAAGGAACAGAAACACATAAGGAGAACCCCATATGAAGATGAAGATAAAGACTGAAGTTATGCAGCCACAAGCCAGGATCACTGGAAGAGGCCAAAAAGGATCTTCCCCATATGCTTGCCACTCTTTTACTTTTGACTTTCTGGTCTTGTGAACTGTAAAAAGAATAAATTCCTCCGTAGGGGTGAGGTGGTGGTGATTGGAGGCTGGGGAGTGGGGTCTGGGGTTGTGACTCAGTGGTAGAGCCCTCACCTCGCATGTGAAGCCCTGGGTTTGAGCCTCAGCACGACATTAAAATAAAGGTATTGTGTTCAACTACAACTAAAAAATAAATATTAAAAAAAGAAAAATGAAGAAATTCCTGTATTTTTGTTGTTGTTGTTGTTGTTGATGTTGTTGTCATTTTGTGATACTCAGGATAGAACTCAGGGCCTCAGGAAAGCTAGCCAAGCACTCTATAAATGAGCTATATTCCCCCATTCTTTTATAAAATCTCTTTTGAGACAGGATCTTGTTAAATTCCCGAGGCTGACCACAATCATGCAATCCTCCTGCCTCAGTCTCCCAAAAGGCTGGGATTATAGGCAATTTCTGTTATTTTAAACCACAAGTTCATGGTATTTTGTTACAGCATCTCATGGAAATGAAAGGGAATCTTCTATAGCAAAACTGTATTTCAGATCCAACCACACTAGCAATAACTAGCAGGAGAAGAATGAAAACAAAAAACAAATGCACAAACTTTCAGACATTATTGAAGGGGGAAAAAGTCTTTTTTTTTTTTTAAAGAAGACCTGTATGAACGACACACAAACATCTCAGAAGAGAATTTTTTAAAAATCCCCAGGCTATATTTTGTATATACTGGGAACTGTGAAATGGTAGTGGCTTATTCAAGCAAGATCTGACAAGAAAATCAACAAAATGAATGGTCTCATTGTGGATCATATGACTAAGAATCAGATGGTTCACCAGAAACTGCTTTAAAATGGATAAGCGCCATACACATCAGAATACCAGGATTAGCACTGCAAAGTTATAAAGTTTAATTTATTCCCTCTGATATTCCACACTTAAATGATCAAAATTTTATAGGGATGTTAGATTCTTTAATGTTGTTTATTTCAATATAAACAAAATCTTAGTCAAGAATTTTTACTGCTTTACCACTGAGACATTTGAATTTTTTAAAAAGATGTATTGAGCTGGTATAGTGGTGTATGCCTGTAATCCCAGCGGCTTGGGAGGCTGAGGATGGAGGATCAAGAGTTCAAAAAGCCTGCCTCAGCAAAAAGCCAGGCACTTAGCAACCCTGTCTCTAAATAAAATACAAAATAGGGCTGGGGATCAAGTGCTCAATCAAGTTCAATCCCTGGTACCAAAAAGAAAAAGTATTGAAAAACACTAGTATATAAGACCACTTTTTGAAATAAATAAATAAATCACACACACACACACACACACACACACACACACATTTTTAGTTGTAGTCGAACACAATATCTTTATTTTTATGTGGTGCTGAGGATCAAACCCAGCCCCTTGCAGATGCTAATCGAGGGCTCTACTGCTGAGCTAGAACCCCAGAATACCACTTTTGAAGAACTATAAAACAAAACTATTTTCAACTGGTTCAAACATACTTTGAAAGCAAAAATTACTAATATGGCCAGAAATGTACAAATCTGGTATCATATGCCTATTGGAAAACTTTTTGTTTTAGAAAACTAAAGAGCATTCAAAGGAACAAAGTAAGAACCAAAGAATTGTGCTAAGGCTCCTGATGAGGCTGTCTGATTATCTGATCCATTTTTTAAAAAATACCTTGAAGTTTGCTAGACACAGCAGTGCATACATATATAATCCCCAGCTACTTGGGAGGCCAACACAGGATGATCACAAGTTAAAGGCCAGCCTGGGCAACTTAGCTAGACCTTGTCTGAAAACAAAAAATTAAAAATACTGGAGGTACAGCCCAGAGGAAAAGCACTCTGGATTCAATCTCTAGTACTACATCCCCTCTGCCCCTAGTCTTGAAGTTTGTCTCTTCACATAAAACCTAGTACTGCTGTCTGTTGTTCAGCTACTTCACCTACTAAACTTCTTTACATGTCATGAAATTTCTTATGCACAGAATTGTTGCTTGTGAAATTATCATATATAGTGCCTTTTACAACTAAAGAATTTCAATTTGGGGGGCTGGGGTTGTAGCTCAGTGCTGGAGCGCGTGCCTAGTGTATGTGAAGCACTGGGGTCAACGCTGACACCCATATAGATAGATAGATAGATAGATAGATAGATAGATAGATAGATAGACAGAAAGAAAAACAAAGGTGTCCACTTGTAACTAAGAAAAAATTGGATTTTTATTTTGAAAGTGAGAAAGATAATTTATTGAAGCAAAACATTAAGAAATAAGAGATTTATAATTAAGAGACATCAGCTGAAAATAGCTTTCCAAGGGAAGAGATACATATCCTACCATTTAGTTTTAGATCTATGAAAAACATTCTACCAACCCACAGGAAACAATTCTGGTCAGGTATCCCATTGGCATGGTAATCTTAATTTGCTCTTACAATACAATTATCATTTCGTATTCTGATTAGTATAAGATTTCTAGAACCTTCTGGGTATTATATTGTTTACAGAACAATAAGATAAAAATACTGCTACTTCCAGCAAAACACTAATCACTTCTTAAAAACTAATTACATTTTATATCTATAAAAACCCCCCACCATCTTTTTTGAGTCAATGTCTAAAACGACTACCATTTAACAAGGCAGTCACTGTAGAAAGGTGATAGGAGCAATCAGGACACAGTCTGAACTTTGCATGGCTTTGGCTACTAATGAAAGTATAGAGGTTTGTTGTTTGTTTGTTTGTTTTGTGGTGCTGGGGACTGAACCTAGGCCCTGTGCACTCCAAGCAAGTACTCTACCAACTGAGCTATATCCCTAGTCTGAAAATATAGGTTTCAAACATTTTCTGCTGCTGTCCTCACAACTCTGGAAACTGGACAATTTTCTCATCTCAGTCAGGGTGCCATGAAATGGGTGTCATACCTTACTTTGGAGTGACTGCCCTGGTGCACCTCAGCTACTACCAGGCTCCAGTGCTTATAGCTCAGAGCAGACGTTGCTCCAAACCTCTGATATCTACCCTAACTGAAGTCTACTTTCCTTTTAAGGTATTTTCTGACTTAATAACCTCCTCTTATACCAAAATTTGAGGCATATTTGTGAAGCGAAAACACGTTTCAACTAAGTTGGAGGTTAATGTTCCATATATAAAATAATGACTATTAATGTGTAATTCAGAGGTTACTTGTAACAGATTATTAAAAATAACATCAATATTTCTTCTTTCTGGGGCTGGGGGTATAGCTCAGTGGCAGAGCACTTTCCTAGCATGTGTGAGGCACTGGGTTTGATCCTTAGCACCACAAAAAAATAAACAAATAAAATAAAGGCATTCTCTCCATCTACAACTACAAAACAAAAATAATAAAAAATACATAAATAAATAAAGGTATTATGTCCATCTACAACTAAAAAAGTTTTTTAAAAAATTTCTATTTTCAAAAAAAAATTTCTATTTTCTTTCAGGCATAAACTGTATTTACATCTCATTATTGCTTAAAAGTAACCCCACACTAATTTGTATTCAACAAGCTAATCAATCTCTGGAACCTTCCAACTCACTGTGATCTGGAGAGAAAAGTTGGAGAGCCCATGATTAAAAATATAATGTTTCCACTTGCCCTCAAGTTTCAGGTGGAAATAACCTAATAAATCAAAATAAGTAAGATATGCTAAAAGGTACTACATCTTGAAGATATATAATTTTTTACAGTCCTGAGCTAATAACAGCTATTCACAGAGTCAGAATTTTAGGATTTTAAATATTATTTCCCTCTTTGGAATAAATTCCTGAATGTTTGACCCAAAAGTTATGATAAAGAGTTCAAGTTGCAAGACTCTACCACTCTACCACTGAGCCACAACTCAATCCCTGATCACTCTTTAAAGAGCCTCAGGGACATGTTCTATAAGGATCTTCTATGGTTTTCTTTTGTTTTATACCTAACTTAAAAAATCTTGCCATGGGCCCTTACCCATTGCATTTTTCTGTGGGTCCCAAATAAATGCTCAAGAGGATCTTCATGAAAATCCACTACCTAGGATTTTCAGTAGAACAGCACTTGCCTAGTATGTGTAAGGCCCTGCATTCAAACCCCAGTACCACACAAAAGCACAAATACATTACCTAATTAAAATATATATACTAGATTTTTCCTTCCTTACCTTCATCAATTTTTGTTATTCTAAGCTTTAATGAAGAACTCACTTTCTATTCCTCTGATTACTTGTCATTTTTTCAGGACTTTTTCTAATTCCCTACATTTTTTTAAAAAATATTTATTTATTTTTTTTTAGCTGTAGATGGACACAACACAATTCCTTTATTGGTATGTGGTGCTGAGGATTGAACCCGGGTCCCGCCCGTGCTAGGCAAGTGCTCTACCACTGATCCACAATCCCAGCCCCCTACATTTCTTTATACAAATGGTAACTAAACTCAATGAAAAGATGACTATGACTACTAGGATTATTAATACTACAATTAACAGAAAACTTGAAAAATCCAAACTTTTCAATTAATCATGACAATTCACTTACTTGATAAGGTTCTGGAAAGCATAACCATCTGTCCACTGTTCAGTAAAAGAGGCCCCGTGCCGGACAGTAGTAAAGTGGCCCAATCTCAAGCGGTCCTGCATGCTCTTATCTCTACATGCCATCTTCTCTTGTTTTGACTTAGGGGAAAAGGATCAAAAAAAAAAAAAAAAACGGAATTCATCATCAAATTAGCACGGAGACAGACACTTTTTAGAAACTCAAAATTCTAAGATTTTCATGGAAAATATATTGAAAAACCACACAACATCTCAAAACAGTCAGTAATGACTCCTTAGATGAAACAGTATTCCCAAAGTAGACAGGATATGCTAGTGAAGAACCGTGAATTCTTCTTTGGTAAAATTTCTCCCATCTGCCTAGTCTCTTTTATCTTATCAGCATATTATATTTGCACCACAGCAATGCTCAACTACTAAGCTGTTTCTTTACTTTCAGCTTCTTCTCTCCAATCTGTTCTAGAGACCTGCTATCAATTCAACTTCTTAATATAGTACTTTGAGGGATGGGTATATAGCTCACCAGTAGAATGCTCGCTCAGCATGTCCAAGGGAGGCCCTGAATTCAATACCCAGTACTGACAAAAAAGTAAGAAAATCATTTTGCACACTTCCACTCTGATGCGTCAAACCTTCTATGGCTTCTGTTTCCCCAACTCTAGATTCTGACATGAAAACATCCTCCATTCCTCCACTGAGCATGGAAGATCAAGTGCACCTCCCCACAGGGTTCCTATTCCAGGACACTTTATGTACTTCTGGTTCTTGAGGACTTCATTCATTACATGACAGGAATTATAAGACCACTTAGTATAAAGTATGATGTTTATGGCCAAGAGGGAAATACAACCATTGAATTTCTTGATCTGTAATTCTAAGTACAAACTCTAATAAAGAACTTACAGAACAAAGTACTGTGAGAGATAATATCATGGGATATACCTACTTGAAATGTCCTATGCATTTTTATTTATTTATTGTTGGCAGTACTGGGGACTGAACTGAGGGTCTAGCATATGATAGGCAAGCACTCTACCACTGAGGACATTCCCAACCCTTGTTTTATTTTATCTCATTTCATTTTATGACAGGGTCTAAATTGCTTAGGCTGACCCAGAACTTGCAAATCTCCTGTCTCACTTTCTAGAGTAGCTGGGATCACATGCATATACTACCATGCCTGGTTCTACTGTGCATTTTAACTTTATTTTGTTTGGAGACAGGGCCTCACTAAATTGACCAGGCTGGTCTTGAACTTGTAATACTCCTGCCTAAGCTGTACTATGTATTTTTAATGGACAGGCAATATAAACCTGCAGTTGTACTTACCTAAAACATCTTTCTTGTAGCTTCCCCCAATTAGTGCCCTGCTTTTGATTTCCTTCAGCCAATTTCTTAATAAAACTGTGCTTACCTGAAAAGGTTTCTTTGTGAATGTGAATGTATCTTATTCCCCCCACCCCACATAGACTATTAGCCCTCTGGGGATAGGAGCCATGTTTTATGTTTCTTAGATCCATGCATGTTGTTACTTATATGGTGTCAATTCTTTTTCACTGCCAAGTAGCATTCCATTGTATGAACAAACCACAAGTTGTTTACATATTCACCTGTTGCTAGACACCTGTGAACAAAACTGCTATAAATATTCCTGTACAAATCGGTTTGTAGACATTTGCTTTTATTTCTCTTGAGTAAATACCAGAAGTGGTACTGCTGGGTCAAATGGTAAGCATATAAGTAAGTGTATATAAAAAGAAATTGCCCCAGAGAGGAATAGTAGTACACTCCTGTAATCCCAGCAACTCGGGAAGCTCAGGCAGGAGCATCACAAGTTTGAGGCCAGTCAGGGGAACTTAGTGAAACCCTGCCTCAAAACAAAAAATGAAAAGGATTAGGGATGTGGCTCAATGGTAGAGTATCCCTGGGTTCAATCCCCAGAACCACCATAAACAACCAAATTGTCTTCAAACAACCAACCAGCTATACAATTTTACATTCCTACTAGTATAAGAAATTGGGACACCAACACATCTATACCAGCACTTGATACTGTCAATGTTTTTACTTTTATTATATGTATATAATAATATGGTTTCACTTGGTTTTTTTGTTTGTTTGTTTCTTGTTGGTCTCAAGGAATATTCTACTACTGAGCTACACCTCGAGAACTTTAATTTTTTTTTTTTTTTTTTTTTTTAAATTTTGAGACAGGGTCTAGTTACATTGTCAAGTCTAGCCTGGAACTTGTGATCTTCCTGCCTTAGCTCCAGAGTAGTTCAAATTATAGGGTGTGAACACCACTATATTCAGCCTACCATGGTCTTAGTTTTGAGTTTCCCAGATGCCTAATAACGTGCAGCATCTTTTCATATGATGACCATTTAGATATCTATAAATATTTTATAAAGTTTCTGTTCAAGATTTTTTGCTTGGGCTGGAGTGTAGCTCAGTGGTAAGAGTGCTTGTCTTGCATGTGTGAAGATCTGGGTGCGATCCTTAGCACCACATAAAAATAAAGGTATTGTGTCCATCTGCAATTAAAAATATATTTTTTAAAATATTTTATTTTATTTTTCCTCTTTCTTTTTTGGGTAGTGCTGGGGATTGTACTCAGAGACTTTTATATGCTAGGCAAGTGCTCTATCCTGAGCTACACTGCCACCTCCATCTTTTCACATTTTTAATGTTTTTTTTTTAATTTTTAAATTATAGGAATCTTTACATATTTTTATTTAAAAAACTTTTAATGTTATTAATATTTCCTCTCAATCTGTAGTGGCATTTTCATTTGTTTCTTTATATTCCAGCATGGTATATTGGACATTTGATAAATATTCATATTTAGAAAACTGAATTATTTTATAAACAAATCTAAATTATCTATTAATATTAACAAATATAAAATTGTATTTTTCTATGATAACTGAGGAGATGGCATTATGTTTGTTTTTTTGTACTATGCTACTCAGAGTTTAGTACAACTGGATGAATCCATGTTGATTTCAGGAAGAGTCCTGAAATTTTAAATACATTCTCTGTATTAACATGTTAATATTATTTCTCTTTCTCATAAAAATGTAACAAAGTAATTTCCCTTCTATAAAACTGGTTAATAATTAAAGAAATGAAGCAAAGTTCTTCCTAGTATCTTTGATCTCAGTAAAATAATCCCTTTCATTTTGACTAAAAAACTATGCTCCTTTAACCTTTAACAGCATTCCAAATTTTTCAAAAGAAGTAACCAGTAAAATGGTCAATTCTCCAGCTCATAATCTTTTAATAACTTCATTGGGAAGTACTGACATTTTAAAACTTATAAGAAATAGTTACTAATAACTACTAAAGGCAGGCTGCAACTAACCAATTACTAAAGTAAAGGAATATCCACCAATTTGTAATCATATGCAAAAATATGACAACTTCATTTTTTTGAAGCACAAAGCACTTAATTATCACATTTGTTATAAACAAAAGGAATTCCAAATATCTTTGAAACAAAAATCTCACTATCATTAAGTGTTTATAAATAGTAATAATATACTCACTTCAATTAATCAGAAAAACAAAAAAATTTAAGATTGCAAACCCTAGGTTAGGGGCATGGCTCAGTGGTAGATGCTAGGCTAGCATGCACAAGGTCAAACCCCCCAGCACCACAAAAAAAAAAAAAAAAAAAAAAAAAAAATTGTGTGGGGGGCAATCAAGAAACATCCCAAACTCTACTAGAATAAGCTGTCAATATCATACTCAAAACAATTAAACAGCCAGAAGGTATATCCCTCTTATCACTCTGGAGGCTAGGTCTGATGTCCATGCAAAGAAACCAGAAGCAATGGTGCAAACCTGATGTTCATGCAAGGAAAATAATTCTAATTATCAAAAAACAAGAAGTCTTTTTCTAAAACCCCTATTTTACAAAATATTTTCATCTCAGGTAAGAAGTAAAAAGCCACTCAATGACATACATTATGTATCTTGGAATACAGAGCTCAGGCCACCATTAATGCACTAACCTTTTCTATAAGGAGTTTCTTGCTCATTGTGACACATCTATTTAATCGTTCCTTGTATTTTTCTAGCATCTTTTGCTGTTCATCAATCTGCCTTCTCAAATCACAGTTGGCCTTCAATGGAAAAATATGTTTTTAATTAGCTCCAAAGAAGACAGATTAATAGAAAAGTAGTTTCTAGGGAAAGAGAAAAATCATTTCTGTTATTAAATCAAAATCAAAATTTAGATTCAAATAGATAAAAGTAACCAAGTCTTTTTAAAAGGTAAATAATTCATCCTTTTAATCTTGCTTAATAGTATCTATTCATCAATAATGAATTCTGTTGTTAGAAATAGGCATGTTTTTCTACTAATCATATTTTATTCCTCCCAATACCCAGATACAACTCATTGTTTCCATCACAAGTGCTTAAACCATCACAAAATACAATAAAATTTAGAAAAATCCATAACTATTTAGTGTGAGGGGTGATTAACAATATACACATTAAATACTTACTGAAAGTGATTAAGCACTTACAAAAAAGTACAGAATATTTTCTAAACCATATAATGTTCTTTAAGTTCAATTTGTCCTTTGCTTTCTAATTCCTATCTCTAAAGAAAAAGAAAGGTGAATTTTCATAAATGATTCTCACCAGAGAAGCAAGCCAGGCACACCTGTGCCCACCTAACACAGAACTAACCAATAAGGATCTAGTTCAAGAATGCTGGAATGTAAATACACAGTTAAATTAGCTGTGGCCAGGGGCCTACAGAATAGGCTAAATATTTTGAAAAATTCAAGCCTCCTTAAGAGAATGTAAGAACTACTAAGCCAATATCAAATTTGACTTGCAACTCCTGAATTTATTCTTCTTGGGCTAAACAAAAGATCTGTACTTATTTGGCAAATAATGCTACCTTATAACATCCTTGAATTGTGAAAAAAAATCTATTATTTCCAAACAAATGATTCAAGCACTTCTGAAACAATACAAAGCACAAAAGGAAGATATTACAGGACTCTCACTTTTTGAGACTTTTCAGCTTCATCTTTAAAGTGACCTGTATGAAACAGCTTCATCTTCAAATGGTTCTATTCTCCCCATAAACACAATGCTTCACTTTAGTTTTTCTCAGGACAAACTAAAGTGGTGTCTATGTCTAGTCGTAGACACCATATTATTAAAGATGAAAAAGTACAACTACATATGACAAATGTGACCTATTCATATTAAACAACCTATAAGAAGCTAAAGATGATATAATAGTTTTTTTCTTTGTGGTAATGGAGATTCAACCCAGAGATGTTCTACCACTGAATTACATTTCTAGCCCTTTTAAAATTTTTATCTTGAGATATGGTCTCACTCAGTTGCCCAGGCTGCCTCAGCTCCATAGTAGCAACCATGTAATGTTTATGTGAAATCCAATCTACTTTTAGAAGGTAAATGTTTCCTCAAAATCTGAAATCAAGTAAACAATTACAATCAATTAACCTCTGGCAGTTGAAAGTTTTAAAAAGTTCTAAATGTTTATGGTTTCTGGACTAACAACTTCTATGAGTTTATGTTTAAAGTGGAAACTGGCTAATAGTGCCCAGCACAGCCATACCCAACATCTGACAAAAAAAGAAAACTCGATCAATGACTGATTCATTTTATATCTGAAAGCAGATATAAAAACCTATGGTCTCTCTCTTTGACTGCCTATCCTCCAGATTCAAAACACAAATTCTAACCAACTTGAAAAAAGGGCAGTTGGACTTCTGTGTCTTTGTTTTTGCATGATCTATTCCCTTACTACTAATCTGTATCCATATAAAATTACAACCTTCAAAAAACAACGGAGTAGGAGTTGGGGGTATAACAAAAAGGCAGAGTCCATGCTTAGCATGAATGAGGCCCTGGGTTTAATCCTTGGCACCTGCCCCTCACCACCACCAAAGGCAATGGAGTAGAGGGTGAGGGTGAGTTAAGGAAGTATACTGCCTTCTGAATAATGAAAATAAACTCTAAAAACAAACAATCAAAACAAACAAACCAAAAAAAAAAAAACAAGTAGGATAAGTTTTCCACAAATCATTTCAATTCTTCTACCTTTACCCACCATGCTGGGGATCAAATCCAGGGTCTCATGCATGCTAGGCAAGCACTCTACCACTGAGTTATACTCCAGCCTCATGAGGCTATGAAGGAAAAAAACAAGACCATATCCTTTTTTGGTCCAGCAAAGTTACTTTGGACAAAATTCCTTCCAAATGTTGGAAATATTTATACTCAAAGGATACTCCATATATCTTAGATAGCAATTTCATCAAGACTCAAATCAATAAAAACAAGAATAAGAGCAATTCTAAGCAAGTGAACAACGAAGATGTAAAACAGGTGCTGAGTCTATTCATGGCTTCCTCACTCAACGTTGGAGAAAAAGATATAAATAAAAATAGGCCTAAGGAATATATTTCTGAATAAGAAAAGGGAATATCAGCTTCAAATGAGACAAATGATCATATACAGATATCAAAAAGTTATTTCAAAATATTGCCCATCATATTTTACAAAATGCAAGACATGTGTGAAATAGGAAACAAAAAACCATAAAGAATATACAGGGTGTGTTAAGAAAGTACATTGATTACATAAGGGGGGAAAATCGAGTAACAAAAAAATGTAAATAACAGAATCAAAATTCACATGAACTGCAAGTAAATAGCAGAAAATATATAGAAGATAAACAACATTTTAAAGATCCAGAAGAAAGGGCCAATCGTATTAAATGAAGCATAAAATGTCAGGAAGCCAAGATATCAGAGATTGAAGTTAGGAACTAAAGAGGAAAATCAATAATAAAAAGGGGAAAAAAACAGTAAATTAGGTACAATCACACATTTTCAGAATAAAAATAGAGACACTCACACATAGATGTAACCTGGTAAAATTTGACAGGTTGTTTATTCCTTTGGCCATGGATTCTCAGATACACTAAATGCTAGAAAAATCAAAGGTGTGTATGTGTATGTTTTAGAGAGACAAGGAAGGAGGCAGGGGTGAGAGAAAGAGAGAGAGGTAGAGAGAGACACAGAGAAAGAGATACCTGGGAAACAGAACAGGTTATAACACAAAAATATTATAGAGAGTGCTGTCTTTTTCATGAAAGGGTAAAGGAAAGAATTTCCCAGCTCTATAAGGGCAAAGAGAATTTAACACTGACATAGCTTTCCTGAAAAAAATAATTACTTAAAAGTGTAATAATTCAGTCAATTAATAGATGAAACAAAAAGACAAAGGCCATGTAAAAAAAAAAAAAAATGAAAGCAACATTGGTCATGGTGACAAGCCTGTAATCCCAGTGGATAAGGAGGCTGAAGTGCCGGGATATTGCTCAGTTGGTAAAGTGCTTGCCTCCCCTGCACAAGGCCCTGGGTTCAATCCCCAGCACACCCCCC